GTTATAAAACGGAACTCGATGAGATCGTTTAATTTCTTTTTTCAACAACAAGTAATTTTTTTTTAATCAAGCGAACATTGGACTTTGACGATTGAATACAGGATGAAACTCTAACGCACCTTCACTAGTTAAATCTACATTTTTGGAGCAATATAATTAATTAATTCACCAAGCAAGCAGAGACTAACAACAGTGACGATGGCTAAATGGAGGCAAGATACTTTACGCCTCTTAATTGGCCAAAAAAGTGCTGTTTAATCACGAGGATTAAGAAGCAATGTGATCTTAATTAGTTAATCATCAAGAACTTCTAGATTTTTCAAATATTGTACTCTTGAAGAGAACCTCTTCATTCTTTTTTGGAGGTTAATGGACTTCAATTGTTTTTTCTTTTTCATTTTTTCCAACTCAAAATCAAATTAACCTTTACCACCGCAAGCATAAATATTTGTGTTTATTTATTTAGTGTTTCTGACGATTGGCACAGTGATTGGAGGCTGGGCCGGTCTTCTCAGTGGCGCGGCTCTTCGGCATGACTTCATTTAATTTCAAATTTCTATTTTTAATTAATCATAAAACGTTTATTTCTCATAATCTCTTCAGCATGACTTTGGATGATCATCCACGTATAACAAAGCGTTTATTTGTCATCTTCTCTTCTTGGATTCAAACTCTAGTTCAAACTAAGAAAGGAGTTGTTATGGAAAGAGGCTAGACTCCTTTTATATGTGTGTATTTATCATGTTTAGTATATTCCACTTTTGTATTGTATATAACCATAACCGTAAATGTATAAATACAAAGATTAGTTGCAATCATTATAATTCACATATAACCAATCTCTTAATTAATGTATTGTATATAACCATAACCGTAAATGTATAAATACAAAGATTAGTTGCAATCATTATAATTCACATATAACCAATCTCTTAACTTAACTTGGTATCAAAACAGGAAAATCACGAGTTCATTCTTCTCTAAACAGGAAGAAGTTTACTTGGTCTAGAGGTAATGTAGCAAACCATATTGATAGAATATTTATGTTGACTGATTGGCTTCAGCTTTTCCCATCTTTTACCCAGTATGGGCTTCCAAAGTATTCTTTAGATCACAGACCGATTCATTTGTTATTAGACTCTATGAACTGGGGTCCAAAGCCTTTCCGGTTCACGAATTATTGGTGGCACTTATTTGATTTCAGGAAGGTGCTACAGGTCTTCTAGAATGCAGCTTTGATTATTAACTTTGGTAAAAATAATGTGGCCTCGACAATGAGGTTATTGAAAGAGAGTTGCATACAGTGAGGTAAAAATGTGGTGGGTAACACTAATAGTAAAATCAAAGCTCTAAAACTTGAAGTGGATTCCCTAGATTCCCATAAAGAAAGCAGAGACTTATGAGTGGATGAATTAAATAGAAACAACACCATTGCCTTTAGTCTTATAAATTTCTACAGAGTGTAAGAGTCTGCCTGTCATCAGAAATCAAGAGTTTAGTGGTGTAAGTTTGGAGACAGAAATACTTATTTTTTTCATCCCTCTGCCACGACAAGACAAAAAAAAGAATTAGATTTTCTCCTTAGATGTTGATGGAACGACTCTGACAAAACCTTCTGATGTGAAGTTCAATTTCTTTAGTAAGCTTTATTCTCATGATGGTAGATCTAGAGCCTCTAGTTGTAATCTGGATTTTCTAAAGCTTTAGTCTTCCTCCTTTGCTGCTCTAGAAATTCCGTTCTCTAGAGATGAGATTAAAGCTGCCGGGGGTCAACGTGGTGTTGCCTACATAGCTTTTCAGCCCTTTTTTCTCAGTAGGATTCTTTGTTCAATGACAAGTTCCAAAAAAAAGGCATGGTTGATACTCTTTTTCTCAGTTTCATGGTCCGTTTGGTTTCTCCGTAATGATGTGATCTTCAAGCAGAAGACCCTGGCTATAACACACTATTCTTATTATTACTAGACTCCGCTTGTGGCTAAAGGACTATAGATTCTTATTTTTCCTATTCGGCTTCAGATATATTAAGATCCGCAAAGGGACTATTAGTTTGGTTGTCATGTGGTCTGCCCCTAAGGTTAATAGCTTCAAATGGAATGTGAATGAATCTTCACTGGGAAAGCCAGGTCCCTTGGGTATGGGTGGTTTTTGGCAAAATCATTATGGAATTTTTCTTGGTATCTTCTTGTTGTCGGTTGGAATTTTACAATCCAATGAAGCCGAGCCACAAGTTCTTGTCAAAGCTATTGAGATCTCAGCCTCTAACTCTCTCTTACATCACAAGTATATTATTATTGAATCTAACTTTATTAATGTTATTAGTTGTGTCGCATGTGTGCAGCATCGTGACGATCGTCGTCTCTCTAAATAAAATAGAATGTGGTGTGTTTCTAGCAAAATATGACGAGACAAGGAACTCTTGTATCTCTTATCAGTGAAAAATTTGAATGGGAGTCGTCACCTAGTATTTTAGTCATTAGAAACCTTAACTGGTCTTAGAGATTAAGTACGGAGACTGGCTGCATAAAGGAAAGGTATTAACACCCCAAATACATCCTACCTAAGGTAGACTGCATTGTTTTGTCTAATAAAATCTAAAGTCTTATTTTGTGATTTTTAATTGTTGGTCTGTCTAAGATTCAAGACAAGTCATTCTCAATAACGAGGTTTTATCTTTAATACGGTTAAACCTAACCGTTCTATTGTCTAAAAAAGAATTAAATATCCAGAATATATATTACGTGTAATGTCATACCTCGGATACTAAGAGACAAACAAAGTAAATTTTTTGTTGTTTTTAAAATTTTGACCAATGTTCTCTTGACTTTAATAAACTGGTTATTAAAGCCAAAATGCATACTAAAACATTATTTTTAATGTATAAAAAAAACACAATATGATTTTTTGGCTTTGAGACACTTGGCTGTATGTGCAAAAAACACAATATGATTTTTTTAGCTTTAATACACTTGGCCGTATGCATAACAATATTTTTCTGTTTTTTTAATTTTTTTATATTTTTGGAAATTTTGATGACAATCGGGTATTTCAATACCGAAGTTGTACTTTTATGGTGTATTTATTTGCAATGGGCCAGCATCGACCCAACATACAACAAAATGGGCCAGCACCGATTGTACATGAAAATCGGCCGACACTGGCTTGGCATGAAACGCGTCTGCTTCGGCCCAACATAAAATGAAACAGGCCAGCTCCTGCCCAACATAAAATAAAATGGGCTAACACCGGCTCAGAACAAAATGAAACGGGTCGGTATCGGCACAATATGCAACAAAGGGCCAGCACAAGCTCATAAATGAGAATAGGCTGGTTACTATGCTGTGTATGGTAACCACCCAATTATTTTCATCTTGCTACAGAACGTGAATTGCTCACATTCTACATGCAAATGGATGAAAATAGAAGAATGGAGTAGGGAAGGAGAGATGCGTACCTGGCGTGAAGGGTAGCGATTGTTGTCGCCTACGGTGGTTGGAGATGGCAGAGATGATTGTTGTCATCGGTTCTTCCTCTGCTTTCCCTATCTCTCTATTTTCTATTTTTTTCCTTTTGTTCTTCTTCTTTCCCTTTTAGTTTTTTTCTCTCTCTCCTGTTTCCTCTTCCTCCTCTTGGTCTCGGTCTCTATCTCCTTTCTTTCTCTTAGGTTTTTTTTTCTTCCTTTTCCCCTATTTTTATAGACAAAAATAGGGGAGGGAAACGTGGCCGGAGCGGCCATTATGCTGTCGCCCCTCCACTACCTCTTCAACACGTGAAAAATGTGGGTTGTGTAGGCGTCCTTTCGAAGTCATTGGTAGGAAGGAAGTTGGTGAGAAACAGAGGGGAGAGAAAAAAATCTTCTTCCCCTATTCTCTACGCTTCCAAGGGAAGAAGATGATGGTGCCGTTCAAAATGACACCGTTTTGATCTTTTTTTTTTGTAAATAGTGCATGAAACAACACCATTTTAGACAAAACACATCGTTTTATTTAAAAGGAAAAGACGACAAAATGTGTTAAATTTCACATCGGTCCTCAATTTATAATTTTTTCAATGAAGTCCTAAATTGCAATTTTAATTTTAAAATCAATGCAATTGCACCCCTGCCAAAAATCCAACAATGGCCTTGAAGTTGACCACCCTTTTCACTTTACTCCTTGGTTTTGAATTAGTGCAATTTAACCCTCAATTAAGAAATAAACTTTGAATTTCTTCAATTGGGCCTCGATTTGGTTTTAATTACAACCCCTCTACTTATACGCCTTTTTTTATTTTGGTCATTGGTTTCGGATTTCTTCAATTAAGTCCCTAATTGACCATCAAACTTTAATATTTATACAATTAAGCCTTCTATTTGACCAAATTAACTTTCAAAAATTATAATTTGACCTCATAACTTTAATTTCTTCCAACTAAAACTCAAATTGACTCCAAAATTAATTTTTCTTGCAATCAAACTCTCTATAAATTCAATGAAACCTTTAATAAAATTTAATTGAGTCCATTAACATCTGATTTTGGATTTTTTTACTCAAATTGAATTTTCTTTGTCAATAGGGCTGTTATCAATCAATAAAATACTGTTAAATTTTAATCTTTGTATTTTTTTAACCTTCTCAACTAATTTTTGACTATTTTAGGGCGCTCTGACATCCTATTTCATTGTTTATATTTTTTTGATAATATTTTTTGATTTTTTAAAAGAGAAATAATATAATTGAGGAATAATTAAAAAATGAGTGATGATAAGTTGGATGAATAATCCATAAAACAGACCTTGGTTACATTATAAGCTTTTCAGCCAAGAGATTGGCTCTATGCTTTGAAACTCTACCTTCGTCATTCTTTGTTCGAGATCGAGGCTGGATTTCTTTTTAACTGGTGGTGGTCTAGATTTTGACTCTTGATTACTCGGTAAAAAAAAATTTTGATACCTTGTTTTATTTTTTTGGTAAGCCAAGGTACGTACATAGATTAAAAAGCTCCAAGAGGAAAGAACCCCGGGAGAAGGAAAGAAAGTGACAACATACAATCAAACAACACATAAACTTGGTACATGATGAAAAGAAGTTGGCAGCTTGCCATCTTAAGTTAATCAAAATACAGATCGGACGTGGATAATCCAAAAGGGAAACCTCAACCGAAGAGTATAAACCCTTCAGCAACATGACACTTGACAGAGAAATTATTAGCTTAACAAAACAGGTGCAGAACGTTCCGAAAAACACATAGACTCTGAAAGGGGAAGGCATAGAACACTTCTTTATTATCGCATATCAACTATGCGAATTTGGGAAATTTAGAAAATATTTATGTAGGGTTCACCCATTCTTGACTCTGGAGATCCTCCACAAGTTTTTTATCCAAATGGAATGCTGTGGTGAGAACTTCAGGATAAAGAGGCCAGCTGGCTCCAAAGATTGCATTTGCTACTGTGTTAACCCCTGGATTTTGACTTGTTAATGCAGCAATAGCAACGGCAGGAGTCTTTCCAATATTCAATTGAAAGTGAATGAGGCCGAATGGGAATACAAAGAGATCTCCTGGTTTTAGGATTTTGGTAAAGAGGCGATGATCAGGATTTGAGGTGACAAAGCCAGCATAAAGAGTGCCTTCCAAAACCAGCAGAACCTCCGATCCTCTGGGGTGATAATGTGGAGGGTTTAGGCCACCGTTTGGCGCCAGGTCTATCCGTGCTAAAGATATGCCAAGAGTGTTGAGCCCAGGCATTAGATCGGCTGTGATGATATTAACACGTGCTCCAAGTTGATTTGATGTGTTTCCAGGAACATCAAGCCCCGAGTACGAGAAATCATCAGGAGTGGCGAGGCCTGGATTCTTACACAATTTTCCATTAACAAGAACTGCAGACACAAGCAAAATGTAATCAGTTGGAATGCGAATTCAAAATGAAATACATATAATAGTTCGTGAATCGGAAATATCACAATCTTGAATGTACCAGCAGAATTAGCATCATCTATTGCGACGCAGAAGTCTTGGAGGGGGCTGGGGTCATAGGCAGTGACAAATGAGGAAGCCAGAGCCAAGAGAATAAAAACTGCTATCAAATGAGCAACTTTCATCATGGTTCTTCTTTGGCTTGCTACCTTGAATTCTTTCCTTTTCTTTTTTCCTTCTTGGGTATTGTTTGTTGGGTAAGGCGTGAGAGCTTGCATGCAGAGCCTGGGTATTTATAGGTCATGAAACTCTTATAAGAATGTTTAAAATTCTTTTTTCAACAAGTAATTATTATTATTATTATTTTTTATCAAGCGAACATTGGACTTTGACGATGAAACTCTAACGCACCTTCACTAGTTAAATCTACATTTTTGGAGCAATATAATTTTAGCAACTTTCATCATGGTTTTCCTGTGGCTTGCTACCTTGAATTCTTTCCTTTCCTTTTTCCTTTTTTGGGTATTGTTTGTTGGGTAAGGCGTGAGAGCTTGCATGCAGAGCATGGGTATTTATAGGTTATAAAACGGAACTCGATGAGATCGTTTAATTTCTTTTTTCAACAACAAGTAATTTTTTTTTAATCAAGCGAACATTGGACTTTGACGATTGAATACAGGATGAAACTCTAACGCACCTTCACTAGTTAAATCTACATTTTTGGAGCAATATAATTAATTAATTCACCAAGTAAGCAGAGACTAACAACAGTGACGATGGCTAAATGGAGGCAAGATACTTTACGCCTCTTAATTGGCCAAAAAAGTGCTGTTTAATCACGAGGATTAAGAAGCAATGTGATCTTAATTAGTTACTCAATCATCAAGAACTTCTAGATTTTTCAAATATTGTATTCTTGAAGAGAACCTCTTCATTCTTTTTTGGAGGTTAATGGACTTCAATTGTTTTTTTAAATAACCAAGCAGAGACTAACAACAGTGACGATGACTAATGGGAGGCAAGTACATTACGCCTCTTAATTGGACAAAAAAATTGCTGTTTAATCACGACGATTAAGAAGGAATCTGATCTTAATTACTTACTCAATCATCAAGAACTTCTAGATTTTTCAATTCTTCTACTCTTAGAAAGAACCTCTTCATTCTTTTCGGGAGGTTAATGGACTTCAATTGTTTTTTCTTTTTCATTCTTTCCAACTCAATATCAAATTAAATTTTACCACTGCAAGCATACATATTTGTGTTTGTTTATTTATTTATTGTTTCTGAGCAGAATGTTGAAAAATAGTTTTAATTATTGGCACAGTCATTGGAGGACGGGTCTTCTCATTGGTGCGGCTTCAGCATGACTTCATTTAATTTTAAATTTCTATTTTTAATTATAAAGCTTTTGATTCTCATAATCTCTTCAGCATGACTTTAAAAGATCATCCACGTATAACAAAGCGTTTATTTCTCATAATCTCTTCTTGGATTCAAACTAAGAAAGGTGTGTGTGTGTAGAGAGAGAGAGAGAGAGAGAGAGAGAGAGAGAGAGAAGAATATTTACCATGTTCAGTATATTTCACTCTTGTATTGTACATAACACAAAGGTATAAATGTAAAGTATGGTTGCAATCCTTGACAATCATTACAATTCACATATAACCAATCTCTTAACTTAACTTGGTATCAAAACAGGAAAATCACAAGTTCATTCTTCTCTAGGAACTTCAACACATCCGGCCTCCTCCATGTTAAAATTACAATACCAGCCTCATATAATAATTGACAAAGTTAGCCTTGATTGCTGCTTCTTTTGCACTTTTTGTTTATTTCTTATGATTGGTTTCCTATTCCTTAGAAGTTTGTTTAGGATTTCATAGCTAAAGTAATGAATATAGCCATTAGTTCCTATTTTTATGTAACTCTCTTGCTTATACAAAGCAACTCAATTATGCATAATAATACATCATCTTGTTTTCTATTTTCCTACATTTTTCATTTGTTCAACAATTTGGTATCAAAGCCAAGTTCCTGTAGGCATTATATTATTACTTTGTTTTCTTCAGCTTGCAAAATGAGTGATATGAAAGTTATTAGCCGAATTAAGAAACTCAATCATCATCACTACAATACTTGGTCTACATGTATGATGTACTACATGTAAGGCCAAGATTTGTGGGAGGTAACCATCTAGGTGGTGGCCAAGTGGTAAGGACTTGGGATCAAGGGGTTTGCTCCCTCTATGGTCTCAGGTTCGAGTCCTTAGTTACTCATATGATGGCCACTGGAGAATTACATGGTCATTAACTTCAGGGCCCATGGGATTAGTCGTGGTGCGCGTAAGCTGGCCCGGACACCCACGTTAATCTAAAAAAAAAAAAAAGATTTGTGGGAGGTTGTCAACGGAAGTGAAACTATATAACCAGAAGCAGAAGATACAAATGGTATGCTAAGGAAATAGAAGATAAAAGTGGGCAAAACAATGGTTGCTTTGAAGACAACAGTTGAAAATGATATGCTGGAGCATAGAAGGGGTGCCAAAAACTCTTAAAGAAGCTTGGGATACGTTTGCCAAGCTATTCTCAAAGAACAACATTACAAGGCTCCAGTTACTTGAAAACGAGTTATTATCGATAACTCAACGTAATATGATGATTGCTCAATATTTTCACAAAGTAAAATCGTTATGCCGTGAAATTTCAGAGGTGGATCCATGAGCTCTAATTCAGGAAACCAGGATGAAAAGAATAGTTATCCATCGTTTGAAATTTGAGTATAGGGGTTTTATTACTACATTACAAGGATGGCAGAATCAACCATCACTTGGTGAGTTTGAAAATTTGCTTACGGTTTAAGAGGTTTTAGCTAAGTAAATGGAAGGTGTCTTACTAAAGAGTAAAGAAGAAGCACTCTACGCCAACAAAGGAGTGGGGATTTCAAGCAGTATGACAATGGTGGATTTAAAAGGAGCAATGACAAGACAAGAAATCATTAAGGTGAAGGAAGTAATCGTGTGAATGGAGGTTGGAAGAACCAGGGTAATAATAAATTTTTTTGAACGAAAGTGCTACAATTGCGGAAAGAAGGGTCACATGGCTAAGCTTTGTACATGGTAAACAAAGTTTACAGAAAGTAATGATGCTACTTTTAAAAGTGAAGAAGAATGGGATGCTAAGGCATTATTTTTTAGAGAAGAAGATGAACTAGCCATGACAATAAGGCAAATAAAGTTCGTGGAGAGTGATGCTGTTACTTCAAAAAGTGAAGAAGAATGAGATGTTGCCAAAAAAGATGAGCTAGTCCTGATAACAGCAATTTCTGATCAAATTGATTATGAGAAACATTGAATAGTTGACTCAGATTGCTCAAATCATATGACCAGTGATAAATAGAAGTTGCAAAACATGACAGAATACAAAGGAAACCATGTGTTGGCAACAACCAACAACTCAAAATTACCGATAGCTTATATTTGTAGTACCATGGTCTCTAATCATTAAAGTGCCGAAAAGGTATCAATTCAAAAGGTCTATCATGTTCCAGGTATGACGAAAAACCTTATTTCTGTATCACAGTTAACATCTTCAGGCCATTTTGTTTTTTTTTTTTTGTCCTTAAAATGTGAGAGTATATCATAATCTTGAGATTTCAAAAGAGCCACTGATGAAAGGGCAAAGGCTAGAGTCAATCTAAATAAGTCTGCAAAAACCGCTTACATAAATAAGACTAGAAAAAATGAACAGCAGACTTATGGCATATGTGTTTGAGTCATGTTGGCTATTTTAAGCTAGATGTAATAATTAAGAAGTTGGTATTTGTTGCACGTGTACAGTGTTGGGGTGATCTTCCACCCTTTAAAAATTTGTATTGTTATAGACTGATGGAGCCAACAATAAAAATCATTTTGACATTAGTTCAAAATAAAGTTCTTCTAAAACATTCAAGCGATTTCTATTAACAGATTCTTAAAGTGATGAAAATATTTTGAAGCTTTTGGGTTAAGATGAAGTGATATCCGGTTGGTTACAAAAAGTTAAAATTTTAATTTGAGGGATATTGAGAACCGAATCAGTTTAAAGCATTTATTTTATTTGTATGAATAATGATTTGACCCGCATGAAAAAGCACTACCTATTGATCCGGATTGCTTGCTTTTAATCAGAAAAAGACTTGATTAGATACATAATGTAGACTTAGGCTATTAGTTATGAAAAAAAAAAAAAAGATATTTTGCAAGCTCAAAAAGGTGTTTAAGGAATTTTAAGACTAAAGATCACATGTGTTTATTTGCTAATATTGTTTTTGGGAATTTCTTGCCAAAATATATTTGTTGCCCCTTAATGTCAGGTTTAGGCTCTTTCTCTTTGTTCTTTTTATTTTTTTTGGTTGAGCATACACACCTTAGTTGTTTTTATGTGTAGCTTAAATCCTTTTCGATCCTTTGGATTTTTTTAATCAAATTACATGATCAATTCCAGCGCTCATCTTCACTGCTTTGTTTGAATGATAATGACATGATCAATTCTAGCATCCACCTTCACTGCTGTTGTTATCCAATTTTTGATCCATGTTTGATAAATTTTCAGAAAAATCCAAAAAATAGCAAAAAGCATCGAAAATAAAAAAAGAAAGTTGAGGGACTAATTTTGAGGCCCAAACAATATTTTATCTATATATAATAGCCTTAAACACACACAAGAGGAGAGGGGCAATTTTGTAATAAGGGGGGAGGCAATAAAAAAAAAACCCTAAAAAAAAAACCGCTAATTCTTTCTTCTCCCTCTCCTGGAGCCGCCACCCCCTTTCCTATTTTTAATTTTTCTCCCTTCTTCTCTCCAGCCAAGAGCAAGGCTCCCTTTTCCCCTCTCAGCCCTCACTCTCTTCAACCACAATTGTCTCTCCATCATCGCTAGCATCTACAAGCCACACAGCAACAACTGATCCCCTCCACCACCAGCTTGGGATGCCATCTTCACCTTCCCAGCAGGAGTCCCCTTCACAGCCTCCTCCCATTGAAGAACCTAGTGGCGTCCGACAACAACAGCGCCCATAGATGTCGGCCCCTTCCTTATCTACCAGAGCTGCCTGCCTTCTTCAACCAGCAGCGACCTTCACTCCCTCCGTCTCCCATCTCCACAGCAACTCCAGCGACCGTGGGAAACAACAGATCTCTTCTCCATCTCCGGCGGCCAAACCTGACAAAAGCCTAGCAGCTGTCGGCCCCTCTTGGTCATACAGCCGACCACCTGAAATAGAAAAGGGGAAACAAAAGGAAAAGAACC